TATTCCATGCACTGGAGGAGCGTAAACAGGTTATTGAGAATGCACCACATTTGTGCCATGCATTGCCATGCATGACACCTTGTTTTGACTGGTTTGAGGTGGTGTACTACTGGATGGGTTTGAAATTGTACGACTTGGTTGCAGGATCACACTTGTTACATTTGTCCAGATATTATTCTGCACAGGAATCTGTTGAGCTCTTCCCTACTCTTGCAAGGAGGGGTAAGGACAGGAGCTTGAAGGGTACTGTTGTGTATTATGATGGCCAGATGAATGACTCACGACTTAATGTTGGGTTGGCATGTACTGCTGCATTAGCTGGTGCAACAGTGTTGAACCATGCAGAAGTTGTTTCCTTTCTAAAGGATGAGGTAACTCAGCGGGTCACTGGTGCACGCATTCGGGACAATATAACAGGTAGCAGGATCATTCTTGCAAGTGTCAATTTTAGCAGTAGGTTACATCATTTTGGTATTGCATCCTTTCACTTGTTTTGTAATTTCTTTTGAGTTTGTGAGTATTAATCAGTTCTAGTATATGCTTCGAGCTTTATCTTTTATGCACTTTTCATTATCAGTACGTAATTATGTGGTCCTACATTGCTGCAGTGTACAATAGGTAGAATTTAGAGCCTAGAATGGGCAGCTTGTTTAATTGCTCTAAAGGCATGTGAGCATAAAGTTCTTTATTTGAATTACCTTGCGTTGTTAACCATTTGAATCCCTCTTCTGTTTTTTTATGTCTTAATCCTTATTCTTGCTATTAGAGCCTCATTCCCTCTTCTGTGTTTTTATGGCTTAAACACTATTCTGGCTACTAGAGCCTTATAACAAACTAATTTTTGTCTCTTACACTGATTGATCCTCTTGTTTGTTATCCCGATGCATTTTTAAAATCTTAGGTTCCATTATCATTCATTTCTCTTGCTGCTATTTTTAAGATTGGTTCATGTAGTTGGCTTTTGCAGCTTTTGCACCTCTTATGATTTTCATGTGATCTGATACCAGGCCAAGAATTTGATACCTATGCAAAGGTAATTGTAAATGCGGCTGGCCCATTTTGTGACTCTGTGAGGAAAATGGCCGAGAAAGATGCAAAACCTATTATTTGTCCAAGTAGCGGAGTGCACATTGTTCTCCCTGATTACTATTCTCCTGAAGGGATGGGTCTTATTGTTCCCAAAACTAAGGATGGTCGCGTTGTTTTCATGCTGCCTTGGTTGGGAAGAACTGTAGCTGGGACTACAGATTCCAACACGACAATCACTTTGCTCCCTGAACCGCATGAGGATGAGATTCAGTTTATACTGGATGCTATCAGTGATTACCTTAATGTTAAGGTAAGTAGTTGCAAACTAAGGACCGTTTTGCTCGTATGTGGTGCTTTCATATATTTCTATAGATTTGATTCACATCTTCATTTTTATGGTTCTGTTTTGATGTTCCTATAGTAAATAAGAAAAGGAAACTTTATTATAAGGGTAGAGATTATGGGCAGGGAGCATGATATATCCCCCTTAAAACAGACAATTTTTTTCTTTCTTTTAAGTTTCCCTTCAACTTTACTGACTTCTGGTCTTTGGAAAATGAGATAAAAATGTTGAAATCTATTAATCGTATGCTTATTCTGTTGGCATCTTATGAAATCCACGGTGCCTAACATCCCGTCTGCACCTTGCTTCTAGCCTTGGTAACTACCAATCAAAAGATATAAATATTCTCCCTATGGAATAAAAATTTTCAAACTAAGATATCAAGGT